GAAATTCTGTCGGTCTCTAATGTCAACATGTTTATTCTTTTGTGAAAATAAAATCCAAATTATATAACATCTACGATTAATAATTGCTTAGATCTAGTATCTTAATTTTTTTTTTTAGATATTAAAAATTCACTTTATTCATACAGAAAGCGTATAATCTAATTTTTATCATGTTCTGTTTATTTATAAGTATAAAAACCTAACATAATAATGCGTATCACAAAATAGCATGCTGATAAATCTTGAAAATTAAGGATTATTATCCATCATAGTTAACTTTTTTTTTTGCCTTAGTCCCGAAGATTAATTTTTTTTTTTTAAATCTTAACTATGTTACAATAAATATCTTAAATTCGTTTTAATTATTTACATTTTGCCATTAATCTATATTATTGTTTGTTTCCTTTCTAGTTTAAGAATATTCAAGCTTTAAATTAGATATTTTGTATAAATTGTTTTCAACACACCTATACAAGTTTTAATTTTAATAGACTTATAGATACATTTATAAACGAAATTTAGTATATTTTCTCATTATATGTGTTAAATGTTTATGTTCAGTTGATTCATTCGGAAAATAATATATATTTTTATAGAAGCATAGATTATCTTGTACACTTGTATTTAATTTTGTACATATTTTTTACATTTTTTATTCTCAGTAACTATTTCGAATTATGTAATTTTGAAATCTTCATAAGGCTACAAATTATAAGAAAATAAGATTTAAAGACAAAATAATGACTATTGCAACGACAATTTTTTTTGAAGAAACTCTTGTCCATTTCATAATCAAATAAATGATAGCTATCATTATTATTTATTATGGGCAAAGAATTCACAACTTTAATTGTATTTAATAGAAAATTTGAATTTTTGAAATCGATATTTATGTTATTTAAATAAAGATTAGTTTATTTTTAAAAACAAAAACCTATGACTTTTTTCAAAACTTTCAATTTCATAGCACCTTAATAGTTTATACTTATTTATGCTTTAAAAAGCAAAAGTAAATATTGTAGATACACCTGTCTTTCTCGGCTTTTATGAACGCACTTTTATTTTATATTTCCTAAGTCATTGCAAAGTTGTCCAAATTATAAAGCAGAAACATTAAGCTAACGTATGGCTTAAAATAATAAATTGAGATTTATTAACCAATGTTTCTGCCATTCCTGGAAATTCCATTCACAAAAAATATTTTTAAAGATTTTGTAGCTTAAATTTTCTTTGTAGAATTCATAAAACCAAAAACGGAGACAATTTCAAAAGAGTGGCTTTTTTAAGTTAGCTATTTTTGCCGCCTTGTAAAAATCATCTTTAAAACACCAAAACTATAGCGTTTTAATCTTTAGGAAAAAGCAAATAAAACCTCCCTTTAAAATATTTTTAAAGCACTTCGTTCTGATAAAAGCTTTTTTACAATGTATATCAATAAGTTATTGCTTGAATTTTAATTAAAGCGTTTTAATTTGTTTCCTATATTTTAACCTTTACACATTAGAATTATGTAATTACATATTGTAGTCACTAAAGGAAAACGACCACGTTTTCCAGAAAACATATCTATACCATGAGGAATGACCATTTCAAATTTGTTTGCGATTGTTGAGTTATCTTTTCTTAATGGAAAAATTAACAAACATCGCCTGAAATATATTTATGCAGCAGATTGTAAAAAGAGAAATATATATATACAAACTTTAAAATAATTCTACAATGTATTTAAAGTATAAATTTAATGTCCCACAAACTCAAAGTCATATTACTAAAAGATCATGGGGTTTCCATGAACTACGAATAATTGAAAAAAAATATTGTGTATGGGAAAGGATCATATCTTTTGTATAAATAGTAAAATGATTTCTGAGTATGTCATGGTATGTAAAATTTGAAAAAAAAATTCATTAGAATATTTTTTTAATGTATAATTTGCATATATTCAGAGTATCTTGTTTATCTTTATAATTTAACTTAATTTCAATTCTATATTTTCAACAACAAAAATAATTGATATATATTTATAATTTAAACTAAATTTTTTTCTGTCTTTCTTGCTGATTAAAACATTTGCAAATGCGAAAATAATATTTTTTAAAATTAAACAAAAATTGTTTTAAACATTGAGAAATCATAGTAATTGATTTTTTTTATTATTAAATCATACATTTAAATAGTATATTTTTAATGTTTTTCAAGAATAAAATTACTAAATATTGTTGTTTTTTAATATGTACTATAAGAATGTATTATAATCAAAAAGCAATTAAATATTAAATACGAATGAGCTATGCTCACCGTAACGAAAAAAAAGAACATTTTTAAATACATTTGGATTCTTAAAAACGTTAGCTATTTTCCATTAATTTACGGAAATCGAAACAATTTAAAGGCGCAAAAACATTATATATTCGGTTTTTAAAAAACAGAAAAGTTAAAGTATTATTTTTATAAGGTATCCAAGCGTTTAAAATAAATATAAATGAATATCTTATATGCGTTTGAAAAGTATGAAAAAAAAAAATCAACTATTATGATCAAAGAACTACAACATTATCACCTTTTTCTGGAAAACCAAAACATCAGTTGTTTTTATTGCATCTTTAGCGGTTTGTTAATATTGCAAACTAAAATTAAACTTATTCTTTTCTACATAAACATGCTAATGACGTCATAGTGCGAATTGCCTCCTAAAGCAACAATTGTTTAGTTCTTTAATTTAATGACCGAGTGTTACAAAATTGACAATGTATTCTTTAAAAGAACACTTAATAAAAATAATTGATTTTTTTTTAAAATTTTTGATAAAACACATTTAAATTTCAGCTTTGTGTTTGTAAAACGTTACATTTTTAAATAAAAAAAAAATATATACTTTTATTAAATTTATAACTTAATAAAATCTTAACATTTATATATACTTCTTGTAAGCAAATGCCGTTCAAATCAACTAGAACAGCAAAACTCCATAGCCGAATAGCGTTCAATAATCCACTTATAACTCATCCAAATTAGAAAACCCATATGAAGTTCAAAATATGTTAGTTTGGATATGGAATGGACTACAATCCGGTGGAAGGTTTTAGTAATTTTATTTAAATCCGAATGGGAGAATGTCTTGTTCATTTTGCCACAGGCAGGACAAGATGCGTCTCAAAATAAAGGAATACATTCGATAAATAATTAACCTTATTGGTTACATACATATCGGAGTTTGGAAATAGGATGTATACATTTTTACATGGATGACAATATATTTAAATTCTATGGTTTTCCTATTGTGAAAAAAAGTGGTTGCCTTCACGTTTTATAAACATGGGTATGTTCAATTTGCCCAAGGCAGCAAAAGATACGTTCAAAATAAGGAATTAGCTTGATAAATTAGTAACTTTCTTGGGCACATACATATCAGATTTAGGAATTAGGATGTTTATAATTTTACGTGGCTTATATTTAAATCCTATGGTATTTCTTTTGTGAAAAAAAGAGATTTTACTTTTTTTTTTTAACTTTAAACATAAATTTACTAATTATGAAAATGAATGATGTTAACAAAGCGGGTAAAATTTAAATAAGTATACTCATGAATATTAAACTCAAACATTTTACACACTTGAAAATTTTTGTATTTTTAAAATTAAGATGCGTCAATATTTTCTTTAAAAAAAATTAAAATACATTTTGTTTTTACTTTGCGAAAAGTAACGGGACTGTATTGTTATTAGAATAACATTTGAAGAAAAAAAAATACACTCAAGTCTGTTATAGACGTGAAAAATGGTTGCGAGATTCTTCTCTGGATAATATAATTATTTATTTGACAATTTTCTGATATTTTTAATTAAAAGAAGAATGCAATTTTTTTTAACAAATTAATGAAGTGATCAATTCCTTTAATCTAAAATATACGTTTCACATATAAGGTTTTGGTTGTAAATTTAAGATTATGTTTCCACTATTTTTTTAGATATACAAAGTTATAGATCAAGGGCACGAAAAGGGATAAATCAAATTTAGGGGCGTGTCAGGGAGTAAGGTCAGCGTATAATACATACAGATAAAAACTTCTCAAAACTTAATGAGGCTAGAATCGTAAATATCATTACATGAATACTTATTTTTTAAGTTAGGAACTGTGATGAGTTTTTGCAATAGCGGGTAGAAATTATCAAAAAGACCTTCCATTATCATCCCGAAAAGATCGGGTCATATGTTCTAGTTTTAAAATATGTATGTTAATAAATAAGCAGTTATTTATTACACAATAAATATTTTACATTTTTATTAATTTGTTACCTGAAACTTGAGATCTGAAATATAAGAAGAAATAATATTTTAATTTCATGAACAATTTTAATCATACTTTTAATCATACTTTTGCATATTCGTTTGAAAAAAAAAAATTAGTGATACAATTTTTTAAGAATAAGCTCGTTATTACTCCTGAAAATATTATACACAAAATGTAATTCTTTAAATCTATTTGTTGTTAACCTATGTTTTATAACATAACTGGTTAAAAAGTCCAAATCCATCTTAACCGGTTAATTTTTTTTTCGTCAATATATGTTTTATTGCCACACACAGTGCAGTGGCAAGCTCCTTGGCAATAACCGATATGTATTGAATTTTTTTTTAATTCAGTTTTTTTTTAAAATTACAAAGTAGTAAAGTGAGCTATTAAAATATCTGAAAACAATCAGCATGGTTTTGTTTTAGTAACGTGTGTATACAAATAATTTTCAATATCAATTGATGTGAAAGGACTTAAAAAAAAAAAATCAAACACGATGTGATGAAATTAATATTTGCGTGCTTCTTCGTTTAACAATACTTTTGTCAATTACATTAGCAGCTGCCTATTTTGACTGAATAAATTGTTTATGCATTCAATTCATGCTTAGTTAATATCCGAAATATAATTTGTTAAGGATTTGGAGTGTTGAATAATTATTATGTTATAATTTACTAAAGAAATTGTAGGTCAATTATTATTATATTTACACATTGCTCTGTCGCTGCTTTCGTCTTCTGACCCTGCAGGTACTTGGCTTACATAGTTCGTTATCCTTTTTTCTAAAAAAACAAATCAAATGAAAAATAAAATTGAAAGCAAACAAATACATTTCACTAATGTATGGTTTTCTTTGTACTCAAGAATTTAACTTGTTATTATTAAGGTGATTTTTACAAAAAAATGAAACAGAAGAAACAGTATATCTATTGCATCCATTAATTTTCAAATGTTATTGTTTATAGTATGATTATTCAACTAAACGGTTTGAATAATTACAAAACGTTTATATGGATTTAAAATATTTAAATTTCGATGATATGCTTTGAGGAACCAAAATTAATATAATCTAGACAGGTTAAACGAAAAATTAGAAGAGACAATGAAAGATTGAAAGGAATAATCAGAGATAAGCGAAACGTATTTGAGGTGTGAGCAGCACTAGAAGCGAACAATGCAAATAAGAAGAAACATAATGAACGATTAACAGTTATTGAGGGGGTGTGGAAGAAAGATAGTTCAAGCACTGAAAGCGATAGAGAGGAAAAAAAAATAATAAGGCCATAAACTCTTTGAATAGATTCAAGTATTTAGGTGTAAATACCTTAATTTAGTAGATATAAATCATTATTAGAGAGAAATGTATAAAAGTTCAAAAATATAAACTATAAAAAGGGCTAATGAAATCTACAAATCATACTTACCTACAATAAATGTAAACTATTACTGCAATTAAAATAATTGCAAGAATAGAACACGATGCAATAGCTAGTATAATTGCGTCATCGCTAGTGGAGATTTCTTTTAGGTATTCTTCTGAATCTGTGAAGAAATAAATTTAAAAGAACATTTTATACAATTGAATGTTAAAAAAAAATTATTATATTTCTTTTGCTTTTTAAATGTCTTTTTTAGCAATTTTTCTCTATAAGCTTTTATGGATAGATATATTATCAAGGTTCTAATTCCTTTTCTTTTTTTCGTTCCCAAATCGGTGTCTTAATACCAGTTTCCTAATGCACAATAAATCGATTTTAACAATACATTTAAATTTAAAAAAAATTGCAATGGTCAACATATATTTAACAAGCAGCATATACACATTTTTTGTGGGAATCATCACAATTGAGCACTCTCTCATGTAAAATTCACCATTCATAGGCATACGATGGTATTAGATGGGGGTAACTGAAGGGTTATGGGAGGTCTGCAACAAGATGAACCGTTAGTCATTAACACTATTTACTGAACGTTGCCACATATGTACGAGTACGCCTGTTGCCCTAAGCTGTTGATATCACAGTCTATTTATGTCACTTCCCCTTGAACGACGTAAACAGTTTCAATGGTCAAGAATTTGTCTGAGCACCGCGGCCCAGTAGCCTTCTATAGTGATGTTACTAAAATTTTTAACGATTTTTTTTATTTTAAAAAATAGAGGCGCAATAAACGTGCTATCAAACGGCACACGTATTTATTCGTGAACATTTAATGGTTTCAGGACTTCGTATGCCGTGGTCATAATAACCTTCTTGAATGGTGAATTTTAGTAACAATTAGACAGTGACTCGATGACTCCTTATTGAATCGTTCACTGAATAAATATGTCAAGTTGTTTTTTTTCTTTAACATTCGAGCCGCCTCCACGAAAATTTTTCGTTTGAGCAATAATGAGGCTCAAAAATGAATCAAGTTCCTCCCAAATTTTGAACGTAGTCATGCTTTTTTCAAAGGAACATTACTCCAGCAGCAACGTATTCTTTGTATTGAAACGTTAGATGTGTTGACAAACTCAAAACTGCTTTCGAAAGGCAGGATTTTTCCAGACAGTTACTTTAGGTGCATACTGTATGTTTTCTGAGAATATTCTAAATTGTTTAAAGTACTACTGAATCATACAAACTCTGCTTTTGATTGGTACAATTTAAGTAATGTTAGTTATTTTTATATTTTTTTAAGATGGAACTTGTCACTTGTATTTCACTGAAAAAATCAATCGCATCTAGCATTGTTATATTTCAAATTGCATAATCTATTTTCCCCATGTAATGTGATGTTATTACAATGGATTTCTCCCAAAAATGTGGTGCTAAAAATAGTTTACCTTGTTTGATTATGCATGTGATGCTTTTAAAATCCCTTTCCATGCTGCATGCAGCAAACGATATATTTATAAATAATTCCTCTCTATTCTCCAATGTTCTTCTATAAACAATGAGGTTCCCGCTTGTCGTATTGACAATTGAACCGTTCACTTGTATCACTATCAAACAGGGCGTTACTGTACCGAAACAATCAAATTCCAGGATTAAATCATTTTTTTTAATCGTCATACTGCAATCCTCTATTGTTGAAGTTATTTCTTCATTAATGAGCAGTTTCCCTGTTACATTTGTTGAATCTGAAATAAAATTGAATTAAAAATACATATATTAATAACAAAAAATGAAATGAAATAACTTAAAAAGAAATAACTCGTATGTAATATTTTTACATGATTAAGTTTAAAGGTTAAAATTTTAGTTTATTGTTATGTCATTAAAATTAGTATGATTGGATTATCATGTTATAAAAAATAAGAAACACACACATTTCGTTTGAAACATATATTATTTTGCTTTAAGGCAGCAGTTTTTAACCTGCTTGTCACGACCCCTTTGGGAGTCGATCGACCATCTCACAAGAGTCGCGTAAGAACAGCAGGAAACACTTTCACTCCAAAAGTTATGAGGTAGCAGCGAAAATAAGTTTGTGTTTTGTGTCGCCACAATACAAGGCACTCTATTAAAAAGTCGCAGCATTAGAAAAGTTAAACACCACTACTTTAAGGTAAAATATATGGCTTTGCAAATATATTTACTGCATTAATAAATGCTGTTTTTTTTTTTTTTTTTGGGTGGGGGGGGGGTTGGGGAGTGGGGGAAGAATTACAGTTCAAACATTAACAGCGATAGAGAGAAATAGAGCATAAAAATTGTACAAGCAATTGTTAAAGGCTGGTCGTTTCAAGGTTAGATTATTAGAGTTGCCCGTGAGTACTAAAAAATAAAAGATCGTTGTTTGAAGATCTTATCATTTATGAATCTATAAATAGTCCAGATACAAAGTAAATACACAAAAATGGAAATATTAGAATGAAAATAAAAAGAGAGAATAAGAGTGATGTGAGAGACTGAGAGAGAGAGAGATAAATAAAGAGAAAAAAGGGGGGGGGGGGAGAGATGTATCATTTATTCCACAACTATTAGTGAACATAATTTTAAAATTTAATATTTATTAAAGTTCATTTTTTTAAAAAAAGGGTATTGAATGTGAAGCATTTACCGTGTATTTCTGGAAAAGTGAAAAGTTTACTTTCAATTCTATCTCCATTTGATGTTTTCAAATAGCCTCTTAGTTTCACATTACTAAACTTTGGCTGTGCAGGTACAATTACAGTTACATTAAAGGCAGTTTTGTTGATTTGTGTACAGTAATTGTTGGCTTTATGCTTGTAGCCTATACATTCGGACGGGATGTCAAGACTAAATATCTGGGAAACAAATAACGAGTTTATGTAAAAGGTCGTCTGAATAACAAGTATTATACATTTTGACATATCATAATACATTCATATCAGAAAAAAATCTTGAAATTATTTAACAGAAATAAATATTTTTGTTTCGTTATTAAAAAAGCATTGATATAATAAACACCATCTTACATTTTGCGATTGGTCATCAATGTCTTCAAAATAAAATAAGGTTGAATTGGGGACGAATTCATAAAATTGAATTTTTAAGTCAAGTTGACAGGAATCTAGATTATTTATCAAACCATGCGTGCACTTTGTCTGACAATGTTCTTGATTTAATGTGTAAAATTGCACTTCCTGAGCAGAACATATATCTGTAAAATAAAAATAAACACTGTTTTAATTTCTTTACATTTACCTAATTAGAAAAAACATGTAGTGTTGACCAACAAGAATGTACTTAGAGAGGCTGCAAACAAAGATAACAAACAGAATAATATGTTTTAAAATTATATTTATAAATGGCATCCTTCTTTCTTCGCAAGACGAAGAAGATTAGCTTCATGAAAATGGCTTACGATGTCAGTCTCGTCTGCATTTTACTTAGGAGCCACTAGACTCCTGGTTTCATTTAGCCTTGCTTAAACTTAATTTGTTTTTTTTTTCTTGCAATGTCTTCATTTTTCGCTTCATCTGTCTTTTTTTACTCCTTCAAATACTATTGTTTCTTTTCAGGTGGAATGATGTTCAGCAACAATCTCCCATTCTTTGATTTCTATGTTGGCTTCGCTCATGTTCCTTTTGCAAACATACTTAAATCGCAGTCACGACCGTCCAATAGTTATTGAACTTCTCAGAATGTTCCATACAGCTGATCATTTGGAATACGGCTTTCAAGCATTCTCCTTAGATGACCAAACAAGCGGAGAATCCGTAACCCTTTAAAACCTCTGTGTTAGACAGCTTGTCCTGCCATCGAATGTGCAAAATGCGACGCAGACATCCTTGTTGAAATCTGTTTAATTTCCACGTACGACTGGGAAATATGGTCAAATCTTCGCTGCCATATAGTAGAGTACTGATCCCATATGCCTGATATACGCTTAGTTTTTGTTTTTTTGTTTTTTTATTTTCAGTTAATTTAATATTAATCCACACTTTGGTTTTCAATTTAGCCATATTTGTTGTTAATTCTGCGATCCTGATGTTCAACTCTTTGTTAACCTGGAGTTTTCTAATACAATTGACTGAACTATATGGCCAGTTATTCTTCCAGGAATATCTCCAGGGGCGTCACACCGCTTTGAAATCGAGGCAAGTTCGATTGGCTTAGAGCAGGTCATAAATTTACATTAAGAGCTGATATATGCACTATCTCCCAACAAAATCCCCACCCACAAACAGATACAATTTCCTTTCGGAAAAAAATGGATGAAAAAAAAAACTGAGTATGGAAAAACTAGCGTCTCCCAACTGATGAAACATTTTATGAATTTAATAGCAGACCTTGCAAACTATCAGAAAAAAAATGCGAATAGTAAGTCCTATTAAAATTTCAATCAGAAAAAAAATTGAAATTGATAATAATAATTACAATCATCATCGATTCATATATTCTGAGAATTTAAATAATATATTTTTGTATTTATTTATTACGATTATTTTTTTTTTAAATTGTAAATCTAACCCTTTCCCAAAAATAAAAACTGCCCATTAAGACAATTTTTTTTTATGTTTGCTAATTATGAAAGGTGTGGACCGCGATAAAGTTTTAAAATAAAATAATTAGACACCAAATGTTTGTGTCAATATAACAATATAAGATAAGCTTTAATAATAATTTTACAGAATACAAAATTAACGTTTTGGCACGTGCCTTCATCAGTACAACGAATAGACAATTAAATAAGAATAAATTAAATTAACACAATAAATATATACAGATATACTACCTAAAAAATTGGAGAAAAAATAGGAGTGGGCAAAAAATAAAACAACAGACAGATGCAAAGTAAAGAAAAGTGGAAAGGAAGTGATTTGCTAGATTCCATTGATACCAATACAAATATGTTTGCCGGGACCTATAAACAGTTCAATTTTTATTTTGAATAAAATAAACAAATGTATCAATTAAGCTCCCTATTTCAAATGTCATTCACACGCTTTCAAAATTATCTTAATCTAAATAATAGTGAAAATAAATGATTTAAAACTTACGCATGTAAATTCCAAATAATAACCAAAAAGACAAATAAGGCTGTTCCTTCATTGCTGTTCTATACGTGAATATTTTGATTCACATAATTTTATGTTCATCAAATTGTTTCTTTGCTGTGAGGGGACAAAATAAACACAATTCTCAATAAATTCATGAGCTTCAGTCATTACTCCAATATCATTGTTAACAAAACTTCTTTAGGTTTAACTTTGTGTTAAATCTGTCGTATATGTACTTTAGAGCCGAGCAACCCACATTTTTAATATTTTCTGAATAGTTCTACATTGCTTAAATCAGGCCTGCACAACATATGGACACGCGGGTTACATGCGGCCCGCCAGCACCCATTTTGCCGCCCTCGAAATAATGCAATTTCTTTCGATTTTAATTCTTATTATTTATTTCTTAATATCTTTCCCCCCTTGTCCTATTTTATTTTGGTCCGTTCAAGTTTTTTAGAAAGTATTGCGGCCGGCCTTACATTTTGAGTAGTGCAGGCCTGGCTTAAATGAATAAGGAAACATGTATAATTATTCATATCTATTTTTTGACCCAGTGCCGTCGCGTGACTTTTGGATTTCCAATACCCCATTTTGGTTTTTGGATCCTTTCATTCAAAGGTTTGTTTTTTTCACGTATTTATTAATTTTTCATTATTTTTTTTGCGTTGGAGGGTTTCATCCATGCTTAATGTTTACTTCAAAAATAAAAAGCATTAAATATACACGATTAATATTTAAAATAAAATTTGTCATAGCTTTAGTCAATTTAATGTAATCTATCTCAGCAATTTCTCTAGGCTCGATTGATAGCATTGATACTCTGCGAAGCTTCTCCCTTGTCATTGTAGGTCTTAAATAGGTTTTGATTAACAACCCTGACGTGCATTGAAAAGATATTTGTATAGCCACCATCAGTGCTGAACTAGAAAAGCCTTGGGCGGGGAAGGAACAATAACTGATCATGCATTTCTGAAATTGAAATATACAATTTCTACATTGCTGATTGGCACAACATAAATAAACTTGAATTCTTTATATTTATTTGTTTAGATTGTCAGTCATGTATGTAGTTTAGTACCATGACGAAGTCTGAGCGGAGCCGGCAAATGACTACAATCAATGTGTATATGTGTCTAGGGGCTGTGCAGTATGTTCAACCCTTTATTTTTCAGTGTAGTGGGTGGAGGTGGAGTGGGGGAGGGGGGGATTTGGACTTTTTTTAACCCTACAATTTTATAAAATAATTGAATCAAAACTGATATTATATCACACCATTTCGTTGCTTGTGTGACCTTATGAATGCAGGTTTATTTTGTTTTAAAAATCCAGCTTCAATATGCATAACAAGATTTATTCTCTATCATGACTACATCATAAACAACAGTCGCTTATGTGCAGATGCTTGATGTCAACACGTCTAGAGCACCTACCCCCAATATCTATATTATTAAAAAATTGATCTGAAAAAAAAATGCTGATTGTGAAAGTTTGAAAGTAAAATATTTTTTTAAAAAATAATTTGTTCAATTGTTGACAAAAATAAAGTAATTGTCATATTTTTTTTTACATCCAACTTTATTTTTCCAAATCAATTCTATTCGTTTCAAGAATTTGAAAATGCTGCTCCTTAAAGATGCCAGCCCCTGTTATGCCAACACTTTTTCGTATGTTAATTACTGATTCGAAGTAGGAGCAAACAAGTAATAATAAAGTTCAGGAAAGGGGGGGGGGGGCGGTGGATTAATTGAATTCCCACCTTTTAAGGGGTTACGGTTTCCTGGTTCGTTTGATATTTGCATTTTAAAATTACTGATTCGAAGTAGGAGCAAACAAGTAATAATAAAGTTCAGGAAAGGGGGGGGGGGCGGTGGATATATTGAGTTCCCACCTTTTAAGAGGTTACGATTTCCTGATTCGTTTGATAATTGACATTTAAGACATCTAGTGGGTTCAAATGTTTTCAACTTTTATCAAGTGGTTTTATAAAACATTCATAGATATTTGTTCTAATTGATAGAAATTTATGTTTATATTTTTCCACATCTTATATATGTGCCCTTCCGAGGCCCTCCAGCAGCTGCAGGGGGAAAAGGGCCCAAGCATAAGGCCTAAATGAGCCCTATTTATTTCATGTTTGTATTTACAATTAAGTTACAATGAGCCAATGCCAACAGACTTTATAACATTGCTAATGCTCTATCGTTATAACTTTAACCTAGTAATTTTTAAAAATATTTATTTAACATTCGTCAATTTTGTTAACGTCTTCAGACTCATTTACCTGTGTCGGTCCGCAAACAGACACTTTGGGATACACTTCTGTAGATATCATGTAAATGAATTATAGCTATACATGTATATTTATTATTTATACAACGATATGCAAAAAAATATCACTAAAGAGAAATTAGCTATGCAATGTTTTTTTTTTTTAAGCAAATGAATTGATTCTCAATCTCAATACTAAAAAATATGTATTTTATTTCAATAATACTAATAAAGATAACTAAGAAATTCAATTATATAGTTATATCTGGATGCATGTGTTAAAATACAAGTATTGTGGGCTTTAGGAACATTTGTAAAAGGTATAAAGTTTGTGTTTTGTAAACTGTAAACTGCATTTAACTGCTTGTATTGTAGATGACATAGTTTATTCAATGTTATTATTGTTTTTGTTTATTTCCTATTCAGTTATAATTAAAGACCGCAATACAAGATTCATTCCATTCTCGTTACTTTTATTTGTACAGATTTAAATCCTTTATTTTTACATAAATAAATATTGTATGAAAAGGTACACTATGCAATTTCCTTAATTCTTGATGTTTTAGTTGTGGATAGTTCATGCTGAAAATAAACTAAACAGGTTTCAGCATGATTTTAATTTAACTTTTTTTTAATTTAAAATAATTAACCTAGTTATAGCCGGTCAAAAAAATTCCAATTTTTTATTATACTTCTAGATTTATGAAGAAAAGTACTATTTTAAGAGACAAAAATATAATAAATCCTTAGCATTGCTGTAAATTTTTGCATCCGAATCATATTTAAAATTTAAAAAAAAAACAAGTAGGCGGTTATCTTAACTTACCTTGTCATTTTGCCATTGTGCTTTTAGTAAATTGTATTTGAATACAATCTTAAAAATACTCTACTAAAACGCAAAAACTAGCGGTAGCTGTAAGTTCTATACTGTTTAGGATAACCATTTAAGATATCAATATTCAATATAAAGACAACTTAATTGAACGATTTTAATGGTAAATAATGTGCACACGATTTATGTAAAATTGTAAACACCTTCTATTAATTATTTCACTCTTGTACAGAACATGTCATTTTGGGAATTCCCCAAAATACCTGCCAAGCCATTTACCCAAAAATCCACACAATACACCTAGTCATAGGTTGCTGTGGACGCCTTTAGAATAGCCTTGTAGTTTTCAGATTAACTTATCTTGATCAATTCGAAATATGTATTAAACTTGCCTTAACAATATCAGACATTACAACACTAACAGGAAGTTTGCAACTAAAGATGAATGACATATATTGAAAATTCTAATTTGACGAAAATGAAAAAAAAAACAACTCTAAATGTTATTCATGAATTTGTTTAAACGGGATTTTTGTATTGATACACCCATATTGTACGCAGTGAAGTTCTCCTTTCTTGTTTGTTGGTGTGTTTTTTTGTTGTTGTTTTTTTTTTTGCTTACGAAACGTTGAACTTACCTTGAAGATTTTCTCTCTAAATTGATTTTATTTCCTGAGAAATTCCTTCTAAATTATAATGAAAAACAAACTAAGGAATATGAATATTATGATCAAAATGTGAGAGGACTTTGAGCTAGTATATGTCTTTACTTAAAACTTGTAAACAAAATCAAATGTAAAAAAAAAAAAAAAAAAAAAAGAAAAAAAAAAATTTAAAAAATATTTTTTTAAAATTAAAAAAAAAAAAAAAAAAAAAGAAAAAAAAAAAAAAAAAAAATTTACTTAAAAATTGTAAACAAAATCAAATGTAAAAAAAAAAAAAAAAAGTGTAGTGTCTAACGATTTTGTAATATGTTTTTTTTTTAAATTTGAAGTAAAAAAAATATACAAGCAACAAAACACAACACAAATTAATTCAAATTGGGCCAAATGAAAACAGACATTTTCTTAAAAACTGTCCAAGAAAAGAAACACTTTACGTATTATACATACTATATAGCGCACAGAGTGACTGGATAGATAAAGAACGTGAACACAAAAATTGCACAAAAAATTTTCATCGTCATTCCTCCTGACTCGTAGACAGTTCCACAAAAGTTTTGTCACAATCCCCTTATGCGAAAAGCTGTTTTTTTGGTGTTTTTTTTAATAGTATAATGTAAAGTGTAAAGACAAACAAAATTCACAAAAATTCTGCAGAACATCATTTTTCCCAAACTAACTGCAACCGAGAATATTACCGATAACATTATTTAAAAAATGACTCATTTTTAACCAGATAATAATAAAGGAACACCATTCGACAATCTTTACATACAGTAGCATTTCTTAGTGTTTACTTCAATTTTTGCGGATGTATCTTCTTCCAAAATATCATAAATTTAATTAAACTTTTCTAATTGTTATTTCTTCCTTCCGATCATACAATAATTCAACTTTACCAAATATTCCTTCTTCCATCCTATCACACAATAATTCAATTTTATCTAAAAGATATTTTTCAATCCCATCACACTTTTCTTAATGTTATTTCTTCCATTTCATTACATAACAATTTAACTTTCCTAAATTATTTTTCTTCCATCCCATTACACAATAATTAAACATTTCTTAATTTGACTTCTTTCACACCAACAGGCAGTAATTTAACGTTACTTCTTCCATTTCATCAAACAATAAGTCAACGTTTTAAAAATGTTCTATCTACGATCCCATTACACAGTATTTCAACTTTCTCAATTGTCCCTCCCCTCTCACAACACTGTGAATTTTACAACACTTTTTTCTCCTCCATCTTCCTAACTTCGCTACTAAACACAGAATCATTTTCATATGACTCCAAAATGAACCCGCCAAAATAAAATTTAACAATTCACTATGTGGCCCCCTCCCCCGGTCCCCGCTCACACACTCCCTTTTCAAAGGCAGCCATACATCTCCCAAGTTTTTCCTTTTTTTAAAAATTTCAATTCGAAAATTTCCTTTCCGGTGAGTATACAAACACTTTAAATTTTTGGTTGACATAATTACTAGGATGTCGGCAGTCTGCGTTTCATTTTATCTACATAAATTCAAAAAAGGGAAGAAATACTTACTTTTACAATCTAATTTTCATATGAACATTTTGCTAAAATCTCTAAACATAAGTGGGTATGGAAAAAAAATTGATGGCCTTGACATAATGATTCATTTAAAGTGTTTGAAATGATTGCACGCCATTCTTTTACAGTACAAAGTTAGCGTAAGTAGGTTTTAATGAAATATTAATTATATTAAGTTAGTTCAAAAAAATGTATATTTAAATGTAAAGTTTATCTTTGTATACTATATTTTGAATATGATAACAATAAGCATGTATTTATTTTATTGGTTTTTTTTTTTTCCTGCCTTTAATATGCATGTTATGAAAATAATACTTGCTTTTTGAAAATAACACAGAAAAATTGATACGTACATACATTTTAAAAAAAATGAAACTAATAACATTAGAAATAAAGTAAGTTTGGATAGATTATAAGTTAATGTATATAATTCTAGTAGCGTGTTCCTTGGTTACACTGTATATTAGAATATCAATTATGTGTATCAACGTTGAATACTGATCATAACATTTACTTTCCACACATGGGCTACTCAATTGCAATAAGACAGGTAATTTATGAGTTGTCTCTTATTTGCTTCAAAATCTCAAATAAAAAAATAAAGAAAAGGTTTTTATTTTAGTAAGGTTGTTCAAAACATTCTTAAGCTGTTTATTCATTTTAGCGTAAATTTTCAAATCAAATTTTGACATCCATTTTAGATCTTGTTCGTTTTTTTTTTCTTGTACATTAAAAAAGAATCAATACAAAATTGAAAACAATAAATTGATACTTGATTTTTTTTTTATTTGAAATTGTTTTTATAATATTTACTGTTTTAAAAACTGTGCATGTTGTTTTCGATAGATTAACAGGTTTAAATTATTAATAATTGATCATTAAAAAATCCAGTATTTCAAAAAATTAATAAAGTCATCTTAAAATATATAAAAATGTATTGACTATATCATGGTTGTTTGAAGCGTGCGGCGATGTAAACATTGACAGGTAACATTGTTTCTTTTTTTTTTTTTTTTTTAAATTTCAATAGCAAAAATAAAAATGTATTGACTATATCATGGTTGTTTGAAGCGTGCGGCGATGTAAACATTGACAGGTAACATTGTTTCTTTTTTTTTTTTTTTTTTTAAATTTCAACAGCAAAGGAAGAGTCCATTGTGATGGTTTAAAAATGCATGGCGCATATACACATTTTGCAAATTGCGCTTTATTTGCGTTGCTTGCCGTCACAAAGACACAAGGTAAGGCGTTTACCTAATACGGAGGGACTCAATTTATGGCCAGTGGGCCAGATCTTTCCCATCAGGGGTTCTCAAACTGGTTAATCTTGCTATTGCAAGTATATCCGAGTAGCAGTGACGACAATGAAAAAGGATAATTACAATCTTTTTTAGTTAGATACGGCCAGTACCTCCTATTAAAATACTAATACAAAAATGTTGTTCAAAAGTAATCTTTATTAGAATGATTGAGCTTTTTTTTTACTACATATTTGAAGTGCGCAAAACTATTCCAACATTTTTTTTTTCCCATACGATTATCTAAGCAAAAACAGTTTAAGACAAAGAGTAAACCACCTCTCAGGGTGTATCAGGGACAGTAATCAAACATAACTATTTTTACATTAATTTTAGTTAAGGCCCACTGACATATTAGATTCAGTAATTCAAAACTAGCTGCATCTCTTCGTATTATGGATATAATATCTTTTGTGTACATGAAAACGGTGCTAAAACATAAACATTAATTCGAAAAAAGAAGATTTAATATATGTCAAAAAATTACTATATAGTTTTAGTCATAATTATTTGGTTTAATTTTTAACAACTTTTTTTCTTTTCCCACTTTTTGCTAGCGTATATTTATTACAATTTTTTTTTTTATCAAAATAAAAAAAAAAGGAGTGTAGCCTATCAACTCGACCTCAAATTTTGTTACTTTTTTATACACCTTAGAGAAGTCATTATATGGAATGTTGGAGACTCATTTATTTAAACCCTTCGAGGCAATACGACATTTAAAACAAACTGTTTTTTTTTAAAGATCAAGCATATCAAGAAGATTGCTCTTTAGTTTTTAAGGTTTTATTTAATGGAAAAATTGATTGTGACTTGTTAAAAAATCAAATTTTAATATTAGTCACTTTTTAATATTTACATGTTTGATGTAAATTCAAAAACAGTAAATCTCCACTTTGATAATCCTAAATGTAGGTGGTGACTAATAGGCGAGTATATACGTAATGATAATCGATTGTTTTATACCCCTTATATACTATTTTCCCTAGAAATTAATTGCGGTGTTGCAGAAGAGGGTAGATCGTATAACGTTGATTTTGAGATTCCAACTGGATTTCTCGACGATGAAGAAATACACATTGAGGCGAATCGACAGCGTATTGCAAAGTGCAAACTTGACACACAGACGTGTGTTACTTCACAATCTGACTTATACAACACAAGCTTGAAGCGCTCTGAAGGACGCTCATTTGTTAATCTCCTGGTATATAATATGACTAAGACACTTGTACGAGATAAAGATTATTTTCAATTTACATCCACTCTTGCTAGCGATTATGAGAGACGAGCGTCATGTAAACCTATCATTTTCTGTAAGTATACTGTATGACTTGATGTTATAATATATATATATATATATATATATATAGAGAGAGAGAGAGAGAGAGATAGATATATAGATATAAAGATATATATACATTCATACATACATATATAGATATACTAGCAAATATACCCGGCCTTGCACGGGATTGTATTAGGACCCCCATCCTGGTGGGACCCTGGTCCCATTGGGACCCGGATCCCATTCTGAGACCGATCTCAGAGCAGTTCCGTTTCCCGGAGTGATCCCGTTTTCCGGTTGGTTCCTGATCCTGTTGGGATAAGATTATTATGGGATTCCGACCCTTTTGGGATCCCGTATCAAAAAATTCTTTAGTGATACTGAGAAAACAGTGAACTCCGGGGCATTATATAAATGAATAGCACTAATTAACATTTCAATATTCCCATAG